TTCAAGAAGCTGAAACATTAAGAATGACGGCATACAATTCTGCAGCGTATTGGGTAACATATCAGATAGATAGATATGTTTTGGTACAATCACGTTGACGAAAAAAAGTATAGATAGCTCTGTGATGCAATCAGCCAATGAAACTCCATAACGTATTCGAGGAATTATTGTAAAATTTTCGTCAAACAGTGTTACAAAGACGCAATATGTGTTTCGCTATACAATAGCTTCTTCAGACGTGTCATTACTAACTAAAAACTATATGTAGATTCAAATTTTAGATTTCAGTTAGTGAAGACATGCCTAAAAAGGTATTGAATAGCTGTGTTTTTATAAAACTATTTGATGAAAATCTCACAATAAAAGTGTTTCTTGAATATGCATAGGAACTTGAGGAACTTGAAACTAGGAAGTTACATACACCCCAGTAACTCTCAATACTTCATGAAGAATAAATTAAATGTTCCTTGGAAGGAAGAAGGTATATGCCTGATAGGAGCCACAGAAGCGTGGACACTAACAGGTGGCACTTTTGATCTACGAAAGCCAATTCCATTGACATCCATCATTTTGCCCCTCAGCAAGCATGGGCACGTTCAGAGAAACAAGTAGATTGACTCAAAATATCGGATCCTAGGCACTGAACCTCCGGCTCTTCTGTGCCTCTGACAAGTATTTTATCTGTGCATTATCTTTTTTGAGGTAATTCACCTGCCATAATCTGAAAAAGTTCAAATTAGTAATCGAGAACTTGATAAAGGTGTTGAAAAGACAAACTACTAGTTTACCCCGTTAAATCATTGCATAAAATCAATATACTTTCCTCAAAGGTACATATAATAGATTTAAAATATTCTTTGACTTTTTCGAGAAGGAAACTGTGAAATGGCAGATGTGAAAGTCAGCCAGATTAAGGTTCACAAAAAGTCAAGGTAAGTACCCTATGAAATTCTCAGCTTTTCTTTTTCAGTACGCAAAATCAATACATTCAACACATTACTGTGGAGCAGAATATATGTCTCTGAAAATTATTCACTTATTTCACGCAGTAACTTATCGGTAATCACGTTCTTTACGTTAAATGAATTGTAGTTTGCCCTTGCGGAAGCAAGGGCGCAGTCCGATGATTATCAATCTAATGATTTTTATGAAAGTTCAATCATTAGTATTGGAAACGAATACTTCGTAAAATGATCCTACTTGGATGCCATCTACAGAAATTCGAAGCAACAAACGAACTCTCTTTCAATAATTATCGCCGTTGATTAGTGTGTCTACACTTAAACGAAAATCACTCAAAACACACAATTAGAAAAAGGAATATGGTCTGCTTCAACCAGTAAGTAATTCGTCGTTTGCGAATTGCGGCCTTTTTGCGCAACAAAACAACAATTCAATTTTCCCTCGCGAATGACAATTTCGATTGATTTTCCGATATTCAGGAACAATCTTCAAAATGGTTTTGCATTGCTGATGCATTTCGTTATTTAATGTAATTTTGTTTTTAAACTTTCACGTTTTCGATATTGTACTCGAGTCAGAATAGCCTTGTTATCAATCATATTCTCTTCAGTACTCAGATATGAGATTCACTACTAAGATACTTGCGAAATGCATTGGGTAATTTTGTAACATGAATTAAAACCCAGTATTAATTACCATCCACTTTATAATACAGCGGATATTATCCGAAACCAATAACTGTTCTTTAATTATTATTCTTGGAAAACTGGCTCGACGTAATTCACTTTCGATGATATTCAAAATCTACTCAGAATAGAGCGAAGCTCACCTAAGATTGACGGAATTGGCAATTCAATGAAAAGCCTTACCGGATACCTGTAGTTCTAAAAACTATGATGATTATTTACAACCAAATAAACTAAATCACGTTGACATTACAAAAGATGGTTTTTATGAAGGTGTTCGATTAGCATCGTAGAATCGTGACCACAGAGATTTTCACAGAGCGTCCAAAATAACCGGATGGATGAAATTTATTCCTTTGGTGGGTGAAATTTCACAGAGTCAATCTTTAGGCATAGTGATTGAAACCATAAAATGAAAATGAAAGAGGAGTTTTACCGGTATTTTTCTGGGAAAGGTCAAAATTTGGAATAAATAACGTAATGATCCAAATCTACCATTATGACAAAAATTACAATTTCATTGAATATTAGAAAATGAATAACTTTTCCAGAAAGCAAAATGTATAAAAGGCGAAAAGTCGGTAGCATTAAACGGGGAAAATTTGATGTAGAGAGAATATTACAATAATAATAATCATAATAGGGTTCAATGTTCAATAGTTTCCAATTTATAGAGCAAAAATCAACATTCCAATTATACAAATGATATCACTATTTCGTTCACATGCGAAAGAAAATGAATTTCACATAATACAAAAAATCTGTTTAAAATCTGTTTTTCCGTTAACTAACTGTCGCACCCTTATGAACGACAACCCTCAGAAGTCGAAACTTGTGCGAGCTAAGGATTAACGAGGTATTATCTTTTAACGTGTGATTCC